GGAGGTAAAAATATTAATTTAACAGCCGGATGATTTAAATCTTCTGTGTATCTTGGCGCATTATCGACCAGTAACAAAGCCTTGAAACTGATATTTTTTCTTTTTGAGTAATCTTCCACTTCCGGCACAAAGCAATTGTAAAACCAATCGCGAAATAAAACACCTGTTACACATGCATTTCTATTTGCTCGCCAGAAAACAGGAAGAGTTGATTTGTCAACCCCTTTCATTGCTTGTGGATTTAATGATCGGTTAATTAACATGGGCTTTATAACGTTATCTCCAGATGCATTTGAACATAAAAGTAAAGTGATACTATCCTCGGAAACCCTAAATCCTGAAGCAGACTTTTCATTTTTCGAGATGTAAGTGCGTCCGGGCATTTTCTTCCAATATAATGCGGTTTCGGTGGCATTATATACCTGATCTGCAGTGTAATTTCCATCTTCTACAATTTTGGGAAAATACTCTTGGAATCTCTGGGCTGCTTCTATGTCGACTGATGCACTTTCTCCCACAATTTTGACATTGCGCAAGGAAAATCGATTCATAAATCTGTTAAACCACCCTTTACTGGCTTTAAATTCGTGTTGATGTAATTCATTAAAAGAAACGCATTCAAGCGCTCTTACACGCTGGTAAATCTTTATTGCCTTTTGCTGTATCACATTACTATTCAAAGGAAAATTCCTTGAAAAGCAATCTTCTATCCATAACATCAAATACTTTTCCATTTTAGGAATTAAAGTGTCCTTTATACGAGCAGTTTTTTTCAAACTTACTAAAGATCCAGAGGAAATTGTAGCCCTTATTTTATTTTCATTTTTTTTTATTGATCGAATTGTTGACTCCTGTAACTTTAAATCTTTAGCAATGGCTATTATTTTCTCACCAGATTTTATCCGATCCAAAATTTTAACTTTTTCTTCAATGGATATAAATTTTCTGCTCTTCTTAGAATTCTTCTCCATGGCAGGGGTCGTGATAACTAAAGATAAAATTGTAGATAATGTAAAAATTATAAAATTATAGTATTAGAGTTACCTAATTTATGTTCTGTACATACTGTACAGACGATAGGAAACTCAACTTTCCCGCCTAAACTGTCCGTATATATGCGTGACGCTGCTCATCCACTATTGGTCCAGATTCGACCAATCCTGTCGAGACACAAGTCAGCCANCCGGATTTCGTTTTAAACCGTTTCTCACATAATCCACATTGAAAAGGCCTCTCTTCAGTATGGCACATTTGATGAATTACTAAAGTTGATTTTGCCTTGAAACTTTTATTACATTTCACACACTGGAATAGTTTCTCATCAGAATGAAACTGGCGATGCTTTGCTAAACATGATTTTGTCTTAAAACTTCTACTGCAAAGTCTGCACCGATGTGGGCGTTCCTCAGAATGATATTTTAGATGCTGCGTTAATTTCTTTCTCATGTTAAAACTCTTTTTGCAAATTTTGTACTGAAAACTTCTTTCCCTGGAATGGCGTATTCGATGAATGTACAAATCTCCCCTTACCTTAAAACTCTTTTCACAAAATTCACATTGATAAGGCCTTTCTTCGGAATGGTATTTTTCATGAATTAATAAATTTGCCTTCACTTTAAACTTTTTGCTGCAGATTTGACATTGATAAGGACACAAAGTTGAATGAAGTTTGCCATGCGTTAATAAACTAGACTTCAATTTAAAATTCTTTTTACAAATTCCACACTGGAATGGTTTTTGGTCAGAATGTACTACTGCGTGCACTTTTAAAACCGATTTTAGTTTAAAACCTTTGCCACAAAATTCGCATTTATATGGTCTTTCTGCAATATGACGTTTCTGATGTACAATTAAATCCCGCTCACAGTTGAATTTCTCTTTGCATATCCAGCAATAGTATAGAATTTCTTTCCTGTGAAGTTCTTTATGTTCTGTTAAATGAAACTTGTAGAAAAAGTTTTCCTTACAGACATCACATGACAAAGGCCTTCTTCCAATATGTACAAAAAGATGATTTGAATAAATAGTTTTGTAGGAGAAAAGTTTTGTGCAGATTTCACATTGGTATCTTTCTCCAATATGAGGAGGGATAAATAAATACTTTCTTAAAAATGGCTCCTTTGAAAATTTCCTTGTACATGTGATATGTTTCTGAATTCTTAATACTGAGAAAGTCAAGGGATCTGATTTGTAGCTTTCACTCTTGTAAAAGTTCTTTCTGTTAAGACCATCACTTAACTGAAGATCACATTTACTGTCCACTTTTTCTTCTTTTTCATCTTCTGTAAATATAAAACTAATATAATTCATTTGAAATTAAATATCTAGGGGGCTACCCGTTAATTTTGTACAGTTCTGAGTCACTTTAAATCACTAGAANCATCACTTAACTGAAGATCACATTTACTGTCCACTTTTTCTTCTTTTTCATCTTCTGTAAATATAAAACTAATATAATTCATTTGAAATTAAATATCTAGGGGGCTACCCGTTAATTTTGTACAGTTCTGAGTCACTTTAAATCACTAGAAGAGGTGCACGTAGACAGTGTGTTAATTCATTCTCCCCATCGTGTATAGTAACGTTTGTACTTCCTGCGACACTCTCCTCCTCAAACTGTAAATGTATTTAATGAATGGTCCCTTATAATTATTCATTACTAAAAAAAATCCAAAATTCACAAAAATTATCATATAAATGATATTTTATTTATGTTAATGATGCCATTTGACAATTATATTATAATCAAATAATTTAGTAACTTAGGAATTTTATTGCAGATCAGGTCTGTGTATTCATGGATTCATTTTTATATGATGGCAGTTGTAAAATTCATTGTATAAAAAAATGTGGCTGCTGTTCTCCACGTTCACCTTGAGCAATGGCAGGCTTGTAGCAACTTCACTGTGGCAGTAAGCACCATTTCAGTATGATAGCTTGTTTTATAAATACCCTGTTGCGTGTTTTGTTCTTAACTAAATAATAAAATTTTGATACAATATTTCAGAAATACGAGTGTAAAATGTAACTCATTATTGTAAAAAATTGTACATTAACAGAAAAATGTTTACATGGTTTTGTGTTTTACAACCTTTTTGAACATGTTTACAATTAACTTGCACACAGAAAATATCTGGAGTTGTTTGGGTAAGTACATATTTTTATGAAATTTTACATTCTTATAGGAAATCATGACATGTAATCCCCATAAATGTGCTAAATGAAAAGTAAATACTTTTCACTTTTGTCAGCTTGCTATGAAAGCTTATTTCGAAAATAAATCTTTGTTATAAAAATATGGCTGACAAATTTGAGGAATCATTTTTAATATTAAATCAAACTGAACAAATATTTCTACTGTATAATGTTTAGTAATTTTATGAATAAGTAATTTAAATTTTTTAATTTTAAATTACACAAGTCAAAAATGTTATAGAATTGAAAGTCAAATATTGAATGCTGAAATGAACCAAATTTGTTTTTATAAAGAAAATGCAAAATACATTGCACTCTATTTCAAGTTTTATGTATAGATCTCTCTCTAATCTAAGTATAAAAAGGATAATGTATAGAATTCCACACAAGCAATTTGCCAAGAAAGTGACTTCTGAGAAAACTATCGTTAGTAAATTGGTCACTATCTTTTAGATATAGAAAATTTTAGGTAATTTTTGAAGAGTTTAGAAATACAAGATTATAATGAAATAATACTTAAAATTTTTTAAAGTATTTTTATGAGTAAATAGAAATATTCTTTTTAACTCTCTCTTTCCTGCCCAAAGAACGCCAAAATAACCTTTTGACAAGCCTATTATAGGTTCAGTTATGAACAAAATGGAGCAGCTGGGTGGGAAGGAACAGGACACAATGAGTCCAGATGGACATCAGTGGCATATTCTGGTCATTGTCTCTCGTCTCAGAGACAATACCTATGTCACAATCTGGTTGCTGATTGGCTAATCATTCTTTTACATCTCAAGAGAGCATCGCATCCATCCAAACAGGACTTTGGACAACTTTCTCTCTCGAAGATTCTCTCGTGTACGAGAGATGAACGGATAGTCGTCTTTTTGTCTGTAACCTCGGTTTTGTTATATCTAATATGGACGACTGGATGCTACTCACCTTGTACAACCATATTAGGAACATTCTCTATCTCAGAAAAGAATACTTTGAGATAGATAATGCTTATGATTTTAAGTGGCTACTCGGGATCAAACCTCCATCTTTTTTTTAATTATCCTGCATAAATTTCTGAACCATTGAATATGCTGTTAACCTTATCTATCTGTTAAGTATCTTACTAATACTTATTAGTAAAATATTACAGTTCTAATTTCTCCCTAAGTATGTACAATTTTTTAACTTAACAAATAGTTTTATTAACCTAAGAGACAATATTATCCAAGATATTTTGACATTACGATATTTCTTTTTATTTTGTAACATTTTTAAATATCTTTATCAAAATTAAGTGCTTTCCTTACCACGTGATCTATAATTCCATACTCTGCATGTTCAAAAATTTTACAATTTTATTAATTAAAATTCTATACTGTGTTGCGCATGCAGATAACCCAAACATGTATAATCAACCTAATAGAATCATGATGTGAACAACAAAGACTAGATTGTCTCTGAGAGATGAATTTCGTCTCTCATTTTGACATCATTTGTCTCTGAAATAAGAGATGAAAGATAAGTGACCAGAATATGGCCCCAGGTACCCTGAAAATTTCTTGTGGTTTATCGACCTGTCCAGATTTTATTCCTAGTCCCCAAAGTAGTTGGTTGCTTACCTTTACCGCTTGGTCGTCTGCCATATAGAAAGAGTTTATACACCATATCAGAAAAATAAGAATTCAAATCTTTAATTCTAATTTAAAATTATTTTCAACAAACTTCAAAACAAAAATCATAGAGGGAGAAAAATGAAAAAAGTGAAAAAATATAAAAACAGTCACCCCTCTGTATTTGCAGAATCCCCTCACTTGCCCAGATGCTCCAGTCCCTCATATAAAATGACATAGTATTTGCATCATAGTATTATGAATATACTCTTGTATCTTTTAAATTGTCTCTAGATAATACAGCATTTACATTTTAAAAAATACTATATGTGAATTGGTTATTAATGTTTTGTACATTAAACACTTTATACTGTATTGTTTAGACCTTTGGGAATAGCAAAAAGAAAGAAAAGTCTGTACATATTAGAAACATCACAGGTATATAACTACATGGCACACATCAGCATCAATGAATCATTTTCCTTCTTACAACACTTACAGATTGCTTTTGTGTAATAACTGGAATGATAAATACATAGAATAAAACACAGAATATTTAAAATGCAAGCAAATTCAAATTTTTGAACTTTAAAACTTTCTGAAATTACTTTTTTAAATATTCAAACCATGGGTGGTTGAATATGCAAATGCAGAAACAAAGGACCAATTGTATCTAATTTGATATAAATTCTATTTAATACATAGATATTTATGACAACCACAGTTGTGTGAGAAGTGTTTTTAAAGTGAATAATTGTTAGTAATTGATACAGTAGACCCCCCTCCTATAACACGGTAGATACGTTCCATGTTATATGAATTCCATGTTGTACGAGTCACTTAAATACATGAGCCAATCACAGCCTGCATGTGTGCAGTTTAGGGACTAAGGCTGTTTGAAAGGTTTTCTTCCATAAAATTAATCGACTCTAGACTAATTTGACTCAACATTTCCAAAACACATATAGGTAACCCCTGCATAACACAGGAGTTGTTCCAAAAAATTGCCGTGTTCTGTGAATCCATGTTATACGAAACAGAGAATTAGTGTGAAAAGGGGGGTTAGGTTCCAAAAATTAAAAAACATGCTGTTAAATCTTTCTTTAAATCAGATTTATTATTCATTTTTTATGGGTAAAATACTTATTTATTATTTAAATAAATATCTTACCAGAGGATTATTCATCCTATATGATGATCTCAAAATGAGCATCATCAACTGGTAACAGTTTTTGGGTGCTTTCATTAATAGCAGTCGCTCTGCGTCTCCGCTACAATGGGAGTGCTCTGCTGTTTGTAGGCAATTATAAACAACGATGAAAGAAAGATGGCAGCACCCACACTATCAATAGTATCTTGATGGAGGAATCTATAATTTTGAAATATAAGCTTTTAGAGGCAAAAAAAGGGTCCCAATTGTAAAATTGAACCATTAAATGGATTATTTGTTGAAAGAGCATTCAAAGTAGTGACAAAAAAAATTAGAATGCTCGCGGAGGTGTAAAAGAACAAACCCCCTTTATTACACTTTATGTTGAACGAGGGTTTTACTCAATTCCCGAACCGTGTTAGAGTGAACCTGGCTATAGAAGTACTGTGTTATATGGGGGCTACCTGTATAATTTTTTGGGAATAATCCATATAAACTATGCTATAAACAAAAATTGTAAAATTACTTACTGAGTGTGCAAACAACGCCATTGCTTAAGCTTGTTTTCATCGTAAAGCAACGCATTGAACAGCAAGCACGTGTTTTCTGAGCAGTTATTTTTCTGCGATAAATTCGCTGAACTTCGAGGACATCATTAATAGAAATATAATTTTTAAGGCCGTTGAATAATAAATGTTTTTTTCACAAGAAATGTATAAAAATTTATCAATGCATATTTTCTACCTTTTCTTTTATGAACTTATCATTTTGGCAAATGAGTGGCTCACATACAGTTTACTTATGCATAAACATACACTTATACAAATACATAACAAAGATGTAAAATAATTATTTAATATGTAAGAGTTATAATATATTTTATTTCTCTTCAAAACAAACAAATGTTGAAATTAACGTAAAATGAATAACAAAACATTTTTAAATAAAAGAAGCAGTTACACTTTTTTTTTTACATTTATTCACTGTCGAAGCTATCCATAATTAGGATCCAACAACATCCTCTTACTTACTAAAA